TGGAATAATAAATCATTTGTGACTCTTTGGTTTTACAAATCTTTGTAAATGCATGTTTTTGATTTATTAAGATGTATATCAATAGCTTCGACTGTATAAAAAAGACATATGGGCAAATCATGAAGTATATTTAGTAGGATAAGCCTAAATGCATTGTTTATATACACTTACTTTCTTGTATCAATTAAATGACAAAGGACAGAGCTCTTAATCAACCTTGATTGCCTTTCCTAAGCCAAAAAATGACGGTGTTACGAAATTGGGTTTACCTAAACGTAAGCACAATGTAACTAGATCCACGGGGTTAATCGAATTAGTAAACATGCATAAATGACACATGGCTGACGAGCAATGATCATTAAAATAACTGTGTCATTGAATAAAAATAATTCAGCGAAGAAAATTTTCTTTTCAATGAAATCATTTACTTAAGCTGTACATTCGTATTTATAGTTATGATAAATATGTCTATAGATGGATAGAAAAAAAGATTACATCATAAAGGGATTCGAAACTCCAAATATTAAATGAAGTTGCGTAATAATCAAGGGGGTTAAGGAAGAATATAAGGATGAAAATAATTTACGCGTCAGAATTATGAAGAACAATTGTCCACTTGACAGTGACCACTTACTGTTAAACAATTACAAGAATGATTAGAATAAAACTAGGTGATCGAATCCTCAGTTCAGTGGCAAAATTATAGCTGTTTCAGAAAAACTTTTCTAATAAGTACAGAATAAAATACTTGTTCTAATACAGAGCATTGATTAAGTAACTATTGAATACGCATAACATTTAGTTACCTAGCTAGATGGAATACGAAAACAAACTGCATAGGAAGCTTTGTCATTGAACTATGATACTAGCAACTCGTTTGTATCTACAAGGAGTAAAAATGATATTAAGTCAGGTGTTGAGTGAATGATCCATTAGTTCAGATTAATCATTTTCACTTACATAAGTGTCTTTATGCGTCACATATATTTAACGGACTCGATTTCCTGGCCTTGACATTATCTTTCCATAATGTATTACTGATATCCGCTTCTTAAAAAAAATGATCCTAACAGACCGAAGTTATCTAGAAAATAATTCCATGACATTGTAGACAAAGATGTTTTTCAGTAGTTTAGGTCTCGTGAGAACTGCGTGATTAATGTGTTGTTCAAGGTGGCTGTCATTATAGATAAACCACTTTTTTATACGACCCCAGTTATCAACGACTAGCCAAGTTGGTCAAAATATCTATCGTAAACAATCTTCTTGATTTTTTAGGAAAAGAAGTTCACCGAATCTTCAGTGAAGCTCTCAACCCGTTTTGCCTAAAAACATTTCTACAACCGGGTATTGGATCACTGACTAGCATTCAAATATGGAACACCTAAAGCTTTCAGTTTATTGTCATTTTTCTCCACTAATGACACGGTTCTGTACAGAATTTCTGGTTTGAAATTTGGCATCGTGGAGTTTTTTTAAGACATCAATCGGTCAGCTTTGATCATAGTGATATTAGCTTAAAAATATTGAAAACCAAGGACTATTGAGTAGATTTTTTCCTGATTCCTCTTAGCCGAAAAATAAATAAGTCGGAACTGCTGCACACAATACAACAAACCTCTAAGCTTATACATTATAGTGAACTGTTATCATTTACAAAACTGCCTTACAGAATGAGATAGTTGTCATGCGTAGATCTAACAATTCTATTCATAACTGTTACACGCGATATAAATTCACATCCCAAGAGTGAGGTAACACTGTAACCATACAGTAGCAGCACTATTTCGAAGAATATAATATAGAATAGATACGTATGTACTTCTAACTGATGTGTTTTGTTGAATTATTCTTCCTTCAAGTTCACTTCCGATCAATTTAAACGGACAGATTGAATGATTTCTTCCCAAATCTGAATTTTGACCATTGTTGATTTAGTAGAATCGTGAGATGTTTGCATTATACTTTATATTTATTTATCGATTTGTAGATGATTAAGAGCAGGTTAAAATTTGAGACACGAAAATTTCAAACATTAAAAAATGCAGACATGTATGTTACATAATTATGATCGACGTAAGTTATGTTAGTATGATTCACAATGATTAAATAAAAAGGACCTCTCAGTAGTAATTAAACAGGTTTCCTTATTAGATCATGAAACCTATCGAAAGAGACCTTTTAGGAATTCTATTCAAACTACAGTTAAGAAAACTGCCAACAAGATTTCAGGCTGAGTCAAATTACAGAATAAGACGTCAAACTTTCATTATTCAATATCTGAATAAAACGTAACCTGGAGCAGTGGCTTGACGACTAAGCGTTCGACCTTTACTCAATAAGTCCTTGGCTCAAAACCCGCCCATTTTATTTAGATTTGGGTAACCACGTAGTAACATTAGCCCTCAGCTCAGACCCAAGTAGCTGGTGAATGGGTTAGTTTATTTTGAATCATATGTATCAAAACCATTGAAAAAAATGTCCGTTTTGCATACTAGTGAGTAATTATAAGATCACAAAAAGTCAACGAACGATTTACGACTGATATTTTTCAAGCATTGTATTTCAATAATCGTTATCTGTTGAATATTTTACGTGATCTGCAACTCGTATGCTAACGAGATGAACAGTTGGAATATTAGTTTATCATTTGACATTTTAAGAATCGACTTATCGAGCATAATTATATTTTAAAAATTGTAATTCGGTATGCATACTTTTTCGATAGAATTGAAACCAAGTCTAGAACAGTCTACCGGGCTTAATGAAAGGTGAAATGAAGCCAATTTTTCACAATCACGATGGTCAGAATTACTGTAGGTATTAATTTCATGTGAATGTAGCTTGTGTGCACTGATATATTACTTCAGATCCTCTTGGACCATACAGCGCATTAATTTTACCTTTATCCAGTCGTAAATTTTGGCAGCCAAATGCCGTATAACATCCTACAAATTCAAATGCATTAAAAAGCATACAGTTTTTAATCAACAATGACCGCTTAATATAAAGTACAGTATGTCTCGATCGGTACATCAAAGCGTTTATCAATAGAATTGACCATCTAATGGGATGTATGACAAGTACTACCGTATCAGAAATAATTTCACACTGTACCCAACGATACACACATTGTACATACGTGATCGTCTTAAACCCAGCCAGTACCTTCTGATTCATTCAGTATAGATGAAGCTTTATGATTTGATCCTACTCTAGACTACTTAAAAATATCCAAGAAAATAGTCGTTCAAGCCGCTGAGAAATTGTTACCCCCAAATACCCTAGTACTGCCGAAAGTCAGCTCTCCTTCCCGAAACGCTCTCACATGGCCGCGTGCACACAACCACTGCCAGGGAAGTCCTACTCACTGCCTTCTCGTAATGGGGTTGTTGTTTACGAAATTGAGAGGACAAAGAACGAATGTCCGACGCTTTAAACGGGTTGGTGGATCCACTAAGGGAGTTGGGAAATCCCGACTCCAAAGCAATGGTGCATATGGGCTTCAGGATTCTGAGGGGGGAATGGCGTATAAACCTAAAGTTGCTCCACTGCCTTGTAGACCAGACCTCTAAGTCAAATGCCCAAGGATTGGTCCCCTAAAAAACCACCTGATTCGGTTTGCGTACCCGGGCAGTATCCCAGCGCTCACAAAAATCGAATGATTTATGCGGCGCACATATATTTGACGTCTTCTTGTACCAATGTTTAAATAAATATTTTGGGTTTTTACATGAATGAAAGTGTTTCGAGTTCAGAAAAGCTAGACAATGACAACAGGAAGAAAACTTACTGTTGTGATATGCATATTCTGATAAGCGAGATGGAAATGGATAATATGGCACATCAAACGTTAGTGTATTTATTTTGTTCCTAAAGCCTATTACTGGATAAGACGATTATTTTTAGGTAGACTGCAGGTAACTAAAGCAAATGTTATGTTTCAGTATGTAGTGACATCTGATGTTTTCGAAAAGTCAAATACTTCAAGCATAGTGACTGAAGTTAGTTATGTAAACGTTTGGAAATCGGTTCCATGCTCGCCTCGGAAACCAAAGGCTCTGAGACCGATTCCCGGCTGGAGAGTGCATATGCACTCTTAAGGAGTCTTATACTGTGGCGCGACACCTTTTCAGTGCTTCCTGGTTTTCAATGACTTTTTCATTAGGGCCAGTCTGTGATAAAAACTATACAATTCAACGGTCTTTTCACAGCCTCTTATAGCAACAGTGACTTGTATTGAGTTTTTGAGTGTGAAACTTTACATGAGTTAAAGACTTAGTGATGCAAGTAATTCACTTGTATTGACTTTATTAATTATAAGTAGTTTTCGTGAAAACTACACGAAATTGGATACCCATACTATCATTAATATTGTTTGTGTGATTATGTTAAAGGATATTCATGTAAGAACGAACCAAGTAGAGATTTGATGTGTTTGACTTCTATATGTATAATCCAAACAGAATGAGGATAATTGAACTTCATCGTTTGAAAGATTTCAGAAACGGACTCAAATAATCGTAAACACACCGTTTTCGGGTTGCCGTAATGTAACAAGTGGGAAAATGAATAACAGTAAGGTACATGAGGTAGATATGGAATGGCATAAAGACCTCTTTTCTTCAAGTTCACAACCTTAGGTTTTGAGATTACTTTCGTAGTTAAGAAGTTTGATATGAAATCATAGTTATGGAATCTTGGAAATAAGTGCGGCAAAGTAGAAAAGAAATGAAAGTAATGACACACTGAAGATCGAATGATTTGAGTATATCGGTCAATGTACAAGTTAATGAACCCTAAAAAGCATAATTGTAATCATTTTACTACTCACAAATATATTTTCTAGTAAATCAGCCAAGATTTGTGTCCCAATGACAGGTAGATATTTATTTAAGGCGTTTACCAACACACAAACTGATCGATACAAGTGTATATGTAGAAAGAATAACCTTGTTCGCTGTGGAGATTAACCTAGTTTGGAATAAGCTTCTGATTTTGAAAATATATAAGCAATGATATTTCAGATAATAAATTTCTGGAATCATATAAATGTATCAAATTAGAATAAAAAATGTACAAAATATATTCGTAATATATCTAGAGTGCTTGCCGTGTAAAGCTTGCCAATAGGCATCGGGTTTAAAAATACCTTTGAGATATGGAGATAAAAACGGGAAACATCAATCCAATTAATGAAAATGATTAACAAATCGTTCATGAAATCTGGTTATTTATTGAAAACCCATAGTGAAATTTATAAAATATTCTATTGTAAAAAAAACTATACAAAACCTTTAGCGTTTTATTTACAACCAGTAAAGTTTAAGTGATGTAGTGTTAGCAATTGATATTTTTAAATTAAAATGCATAAATCGAAATCCAAGTGACTTTTTACAGAGCTAGGGACAAGAAACAGCAGTGGAAATAGTTGTATTTCTCACCGAGAGTGCATGAAGTTGCAAGAGTGACCATTACGACATCCTCCCTGTTGGAAGAACTTACAAGGCTGACCATTATTTCTAGCATGAGAGTTTCCACGAGGATAAGCAGGCATTCGAGATGTTGGCGGACCATTATAAGGAGGCATCGGATTAGGAATGAGATGAGGTAATGTGGGATTCATTGACTGAAAGGGTGGTCTGTTTGGCATTCGATTCGGAGGCCCATAACCAGAAGGATTAGGGGGACATAACCTTGGTCCATGGGGAGGTGGTGCAAAATCAGATCTAGGAACGGGGACAGGCATATGCGAAGGACCGCGGAAAGGAGGACGGAAGCCTTGGCGTGGGGCAGGAATATCAACTGGACAGTCAGGATACTGAAAAGGTGGTTTTGGGGGGCATGGGTTACGAAGCTGAAAAATACCTCGAGCAACGAGTTGATCACGTAACGGTTCGAGTAGATCTCGAATGCGCTCCGCACTTAAGTCATGAACATTAATATCTGGATAATTCTGCTCCAAGACTTCCCACAATTCTCTTTGTAGCATTTGATCAATTGGAGAATGAGCGTTCATTCCACGTACCGATTCAGAATTAGGACTATTTATGTTCATTTTTGTGTCGTTAGAAGCAGGAACAAAAGCATTTGGTTGTAAATTGAAGTCAGAACAGGATGTTGTAGTTAAGACGGGGTTCATTTGAGGTGGCATCTTTTGAACAAGATCAGGTGGAGAACTAGTGAGATTGGCTGCCAGAGACTTGACAAGGTTAGCAACCTCGGGATTTAATGACATCTAAAAGACAATTAAAAAAAATAAAGATACGTTAAAACAAACAAATGAAGCGATTGCTTTAGAAATTTAAGAAAACATGATCTTTTAGTGTGACAGTTGTATGAAGAAGTCATATTTAGTTTTTTACGTTTATTCGGGACTAAGATAGCTTAATTATCAGGTTAGAATTCTCCAAAAATCTAGCATTTAAAGTTGAAAATTAGCATAAAGCAAATGCAAATAATAATAATAGAAGATACGTATGCTGATACCATATAACTTTTTTGTATTATCTCGGCAAAACTCCATGCTTTTTTGTGTGCTCTAGTAAAGACTGCATTGCAGCAATTCAGGTAAACGTCTACATAAGTTGTTTTTGAATTTAGTCACATCAACAAACTTGAAACGATAACTATTCGTGAATAAACTTAAGAAAATGTAAGTAAACCACAATTGTGAACACTGAGTTTTAATAAGGACTATTCATCCTATTTCATAGGTATCATTACCAAGGTTTGAATTGATAATTTCAAATTAATTGAGCATTGAGTAGATTGTTATAGATAAAAATAATATATTTGTAATATCCCAATGTGTAGAAAAATTAAATTTTCTGATGTTTCGTGAATCAGTGTAAGCCACTTCTTCAGAGAATAAATAACCAAATAAAAATTAACCTAAGTTTAAATGGTACAAACGAACAAGGCAAGAATATTAGGTGCAATCAATCAAAAACAGGTCTGGACAAGTTAATATCATGTCATTCTAGTCAAGGTGATTCATATGAGACATGTATGTAAATGTGTGTGTGTATGTAAGTTTGATCACGGATGAAAAAATATGACATTTGTGGTGAGAAATGATAGTTTAATTTTAGAATTCAAAACAGGATACGAACACTAAAATATATTTGTCTTACAAGAGCCGCTTCAACAGTCTCAAAATATACATTATTAAGCATAAATTTGAATGAATAGTGGGGAAAGTCAAGTTACTGACGGTCCCGAGCCAGGATTAAGGAAGGTTGTGTATGGGGTTAGCAATCCCATCCCATAGAAAAGAACCTTCCTAAAAAACACGAGCCAGAATAGGTCGGCAGGCTACACTCCACGAGGGATAACAGGCATAAGTTATATATATATATATATATATATATATATATATATATATATATATATATATAATTTCGACGGAGAAAATTACTGAGATTTAACTCGCCTGTGGATTTCCCATGGCATCTTTCATAACTAATAGCCTCTCAGAATTGACTTCAGAACTTTTATCAATTGATTCGTAGGCAGTAAGCTGAAGAAAATACAGATAATTTGATTTAGTTTATATACTAGGTACATGATAAGTTTAATAAAAGAAAAACCAATCTACAAGCAAACACGTTTAGCTTCAAATTTGCCTGGACGAGAAGTAATGATATTTTATGGGTAAAAACCAATATGTAAAACAAAAAAAATGTCGATTTCCAAACGCATATGACGATAAAACAAAGTGAAATTAATCTGTGTGATACTAGCAAAACTATGAAAATGCGTAACTATCATTCATTTAATGTGAACTTACAATCAAAAACACAATCAAATATATGGATGTGGCTAACAGTGGAATCCAGGACACGCGTTTCGTCCTATTTAGGATCGGTTAGCTGGATGTAACTGCATTTCAGTGTTGTCCATACTGGAACACGAACGCAGTACTTCGTGCTTCAAACACAAACCCGTTTACCACAATCCATCTCTTCTTCAAGAAATGACAAAAAGTTTGAATCGAGGCAATCCTTATACAATGCCATCAAAAAAATGATCGAAATTCAGATTAGAATGACAGCAAACACTTAGTCCTGCATTAGAGTAGAGTGACCTTCAATCTCAATATATATCTTATGCACAACATACATAATAGACGTTCAAAGTTGGTACGAAAATGTGTTTCAGCCAGGTATTAAGAAAATTTAAGCCTTTTTTCAAATTATTTGGTACAAAAATATTTAGATTCTTGTTAGTGAAAATAGTCGTTTATCCTCCACGATTGTGGTTTACGAAAACATGATCACAACTTAGTGATGTTTGTAATATGGTTTCCGCAAGCAATGTGTTAAAGATGAGAACATTGTTTCTTTATGCTTTAAACTAACAAACGGGGGTAACACACTATTTGATTAGCTAAGAGCAACAAAGCATTGCATGGCATACGTCATAAATAACTGTGAGGAATAGTAACGCAAATTGAAAGAACTGTTTATGACTAGTTGAAAATTGTCAACTTAATTCATGTTATATATGTCCATTTAATAGATTAGTAGATCTATATTTCGACATTTTGATTGCATTTATGAACTTAATAAGGGGAACAGTCGTTAGATGTATAAATCACCTTTCAAAAAGCAACCACCGATTTTAACAACCATCACTATCCAGGTTGAAACGAAAGCATTGATAACACAATTTTGTGTCTGATGTGCAATATTATCAACAGTGTTTACGATGCAGATTTTAATAACATGAACCAATAGAAAATGGAAAAACAGATGGCAAACCAGATTAATTAATTATGCTGTTTCTTATTGACCAATGTATTTCTCAGACAGTTTTACACTTGACAAATACATTGTTCATTTCAGCAAGTGAAAGTTGGATTGATTGAACGATTGTGATATTTGAAGATTTCGCTAATTAAAAATTTTAATTAACCTAATCTTCAAAATGAAGATCTTTTAAAGAAAGATAGATGAAATTTAGTTCGTCACTTAATATTTGTTTTCCAGAGCACAGTAATATATTTAGTCATTCTAGACGTTTGTTGCAAAGACATATGTTGACGAGTTAGGTTCCAAATTAATTTTTTTGGATCACACACAACTTTACAAAAACATGAGTGAATGTCACAAGATAAAGTGACTAGTGGACAAAGAAACACATCCTTTGTTACAAAAATCAAATATGCTTATAAATCACCATACTAACATTCTAGCTTTAAAAAAAGGTTAACCAAACGATGAGTCCCGACTCTGAAAAACTCGTATAGTGATCTTATTTTACGTGCAAAAAGCTATTCAGTAGTTCCCTTACACTCATGAAGGGAAACTTACACTGTTGAATTTCATTTAATTCCTTAGAATTATGGGATCCATACAATACATCATAACTGTCTTAACGCATAGCTGTTTAATCGCTACAGTTACCTTACTTTCACGTAAAATATGCTCGGGAAAACTAATAATTAATGCTACCTTCAGTGGACTGGCACTTTTACAGAATTTGTAAGCAGTAATTCTCCAAGTATTTGTGGTTGTACATTCAAAAGCACTGATACCTAAAATAAGTGTGTTAATTCGGGATAGTCGAATAACGTTAATTAGAGTTGATTCAGAATTGAATATGAAATCTTAGGAAATGCTAAATGTCATCATGTTAACTAGTCATTCATTTGGATCTTAGTTTGAGAATCATAGGTTCGAACGATTTAACGTCGAAAATAAAAGATTTTAGCGTCTAGTTAACAGCTAAAAAGCTTAGCATACATTCTAAATCTTGATAGAATGTTATGACAACCGAGAGAATTTCATCCAAAAGAAAATTAACAAAAACATCTTCAATACAGAAAACTGAGTCATTTCAATGGAATATTCTGAAAATGAGAGTATTTTAAACCAACCCGTTATTGGAAAATTGTCCTGCAGCAGGAACAGGTTAAATGCATATATTTTCAAGAACTTTTATAATACGTTGGACAGCTGAAGTGTTTGTTGAGTAATATATTATAAAGGTGTCATGTGTCAAAACCACTAATTTATTTTAGCATATAAACATTGGTACAATGAGATGCCATTATATATATATATATATATATATATATATATATATATATATATATATATATATATATATATATATATATATATATGGGACCAATCCTCGAGCATTTCACTTAGAGGTCTAGTCCACAAGGCAGTTGAGTAACTTTAGGAGATGCAGTGGTATGGCAACCAGTGGCCAACAGTAGGTCCATACGCCATTTCCCCCCCCCTCAGAATCCTGGAGCTCATGCGCACCATTGGTTTGGAGTCAGTTTTCCAACTCCATTAGGTGGACCCTGCATACCCACCAATCCGGTTAAAATGCCAGATATTCGCTTTTCGTCCCACTCAATTTGTAGACAACACCCTCGCCGCGACAAGGCAGTGAGTAAGACTTTCTAAAACCACTCAATCTTCATACAAATATGTGAATATGTGTTGTTTTCAGCTTATAGTAATTACTGCTTGTAACTGTGTAAGGAGAATAAACTTACATCATCCAATGGTATATCAAGAGGAGCGATATGCTCCACAACTTCTGCATCGGGCTCTTCTGGACTATATGGAATACTTTCACGAGTAAAGTAGATTGCTTGCAGGACACAACGTTCTCGTTCTAATTGAATCTGACGTTCAATAGATTTACAACCTGGTTCGACCAAGAGAAGTCGTTCTAATGGACAAGGAGGGTGCCACTGTCATGAGGAATTGAAATAGGAAGGAAACTTATGAAATTGTACAGATCTCGCTATAGCAGAAAATACATCAAATACTGACATAGACCAACATAATGAACAAAATAATAGCAAAATAAAACACTGACAAACGTATAGATAACTAAGGAATGTTAAGTAGTTCACAATCATATTTGCCGATCATTGAAGACCGAGTCATACATATTCTGCTCCATGTTTATAACAATATAATAGTGATTGGAAAACTTGACAGGAAAAGCGGGTGGGGATCCCAGTCCGACGTATTGTTTAGGAATTCGATAGCCAACATCTTGAAACACTGACATTGGGAAGTTAGCGACTAGTCAGCTTAGTTAGACTCCAGGTTTGACTGTGGACGAATAATTGTGATAATCCTCGATATTTCACATGACCGACGTAGAGCTCTTGGGAAGTAAGGAACGTAAAATAAACACGTTGCGCAAAGAAGTCTAACGAGATTATCCTGCCAAACTATACTAATTTACTCTTCAGGATTCCTTTTGACAAGAGGTTTTACTTGTGGGAATATATACAGATTATAATCTTTTTACTAGTATTATGACAAGAATGCTTCACACACTCTCATAGGCTTTGCATGCAGGATCTCCGGAAAATCACAACCGGATTCAAAGTTTTAATAATGATCAGCTAAATCAGTGATCAAGGAATTGCAAGACGTAGCTTTCAGCAGTTATCTAGATCTATTTATATAATCTTTGGAGACAATTTAGGTATTTTCCTGAGTATTTATTCATATCAGCTGGTGCGAAAGGGACTGTGGAGACGATTCACTCAACATTCATCCAAACAAAACATTTTAAGAGCATATGGTTCCGCTGTCGAAATTCGTGTTTATTGACTTCGGAGTGCGTGAATAAGCTTCACGAGGACGAGTTCTGGTTTTTTATCGAAGCATCACAAGTGTACGTCCCTCAATATCCGTTAAGAAACCGCTAACAATTCGTGGATGGAACAGTGACCATCTAGACAATATGGTGAGACGATAGAATGTCTTATGAAATTTGTTGCGCGCAATTAGTTCACGAGAAAACTTTGCCAGTCATTAGCTTGCATTTAATTTATACTATGATAAATAAGTTGGGCCTATGATATCTGCAACTGATAACCCACTTTACGTTAAGACACATGAATCCATTCAGAATGAGAGATCAACTGAATATGTAACGAAACAACCAATGGTCTGTTTCACACAATACCGCCACGTACCTGCAGTTTCTAGGCAAGTCACATGGGCTTCAGACAGATCTAGAAGTGCTATATTCTCACAACTACAGTGGCACGTGCTCGCACTACAATATACGAGATCCTAGTGGAAAACAATTGGTCAGATCACTACAGTAGTTTTAACACTGAAGTCATTCACTCAACTGTATTTTTTTAATTCAGCGTGAAAGTGATCGCAAGAAAACTTGAGAATTATAAGTTGATCAGAGGTTGACATGTTGGTACTTAATAATTCAGAATAGCAAAACATCCACACAACAAAATACCGTTATGATTGATGTGAGAATCTTACTGAGGCACATTGTACAAACTGTATGATTATTATTATTACCTACATTATGTATACAAGTAATGTTGATATCTTGATTGTTGATTAATGCAGACTTGATTTCTTTTTTACAATATAATTAGTACAAACCCACTGATTTAGGACTATGTGAAGTGACCCTTATATAATAAACCACAGGATGTTACGAGTCAGACCCGATTATAACGGAAGGTACAAGTCAATCTACAACTGACATCCGAACTAGGGAATCTTAGTTGTGATAACACTAGAATTCACATGCAGCTTTCTATAGCGACAGTTATATATAATTGTGACCTAGATTTCAATTTAAGTTTAATAACATTCTCATCAAAATATACGACTAAGTGTTTGTTGAATGTTTTTTAGGAACGAAAAAGATTTTCCGAACACTGAAATGACAAGAATTGGAAGAAATACAATCAGAAGTAAACACCAGTAAATGACCATCTGCAGAGCGGTGAATTTTGGAAAATATAAGTTGGTGCAATGATCAGATAACTAGTATTTGTACTTAAAAAAAACTTTTTACACAGTATTGTGGAGACTGATATATTGCTATCGTGAACCGTTCAAGTAGAACAAAATTATGGATATTTTGTGAATAAACCACCCACCATAGTTGCATGGAAAAATCAATCATTCGAATAAAAATATTTTATTTCAAAGAAAACCACATGTACAATAAGATCGAAATAAAATTCAAAATAAAACGAATATTCAATGAAAACTAAGTTATAAAATAAAAACCTAAAATAAAAAGCTTTGAGAAGAAACACCTTCAATTACTTGATAATATATACATCATTAATATTAAATTTAATTATAAAAGCTGATAATTATTGATAGCTTCAGATACTTAAAGCTGTCGAACTTTGGAGCTATATCGAGTTTAACTTACCTTCTGAGAATAGACATCGGTATCTTCATGGGATCGTTTGAAAAGCTGACGTTCCATTGAATGTTCCTTGCGACGAATATCCTCAATGGACACTCGATTCACATTAACTATAAAACATGATGTATATAGTATTATTGGTTAGGATCGAGGAAAACAGATCACAGACAAAGGTATCCATCTTAAAAATAATCTCAATTTACCTCTCTCCGACTCATCTAGCTCAAAATAGTAGAAAGACTGTAGCTTGTCCTCATCAGCCCAGGAAACCCGTTTTTTAGGTTTATTCTCAGCAGGGAAGGTTGAATAGATGTTGGACAATGAGGATTTTCTGGAACCCATTCCCTTAGGGGAGTTCGAAAATGAATCAAGTGCACCGCTCTGATCAGATAACTCCGTGAAATTTTCTTCTTTGCTCTACAAGTATTAGTATATTAATAAACAGACGTACAGTAGGGAGATCAGTTTGTACAACCGGCTCAATTTTAGGAGATATTCTCCTCTTCTTTCGAACAACGGGACATGGAGAAGTGGTGAGTGCATTGATAAAATCCGAACTCTCGTGAATCTCTGAAAGAAATTTGTACGTTGTATTTTTAAATGTCAAAAAACCTTTGCGAGATTCCGTCGGAGTAACAGTTATTTTTTGATGAAAGGATTCAATCGGAAGTTCAGATGTCAGACTTTTATCATGTTCGATTTTGCTATAAAAAAAATTAAGAACCCCTACTGGGTCTTACTTTTTCTTTGCGAATATATCTGATCTAGATTTAGGCTGGGCTTGTGCAGGTGTATCTTCCATACCTGCTGTTCGCATATTGTTAGGTGGTATTTTAACAGTACTTCGGCGCTTTTTCTCATCTTTCAAAGTGTCATGCGACTGAGCATCTTTGCTAATTGTTTTTGCTTCAGTTTCTACTTTTTTCCTTTTTACATGATTTGCTGAAAATATATTAAGTAATACCAACCTAACTTACAGACCAACTGACGGGAATCAGAACTTATAACTTCTTTCCATTTTTTTACAATCTCAGCAGCCACAGATTTTACCTCTATTTTAGAGAATTAATCAAGCCTCGGTGTACATTACCTTCATGATCACAACGTTTCGTCAAAGAATTTATTAGTTTGGGACAAACATTCTGGGTAAGCTGCTCCAATCTCACAGGGAGTAGCAAGTACACTTTTAAGAGCTCTAACAGAAAAGCATAATTATCCTCTTTGAGGGCTTCTTGAAGCCATTTAAGTAATATTTCCCATGCACCATCTTTACATAACTGCAATTGTGTTTCTGGAGACGATGAAGCAATAATACACAAAGAAATGCATTTCGGAACAAGTTTGCGGTTGGCCGACGACATCAACTCCACCAGTGCAGAGACGGACTGCTGCATAATCCCACCCGAGTCCGTCAAATGTTCACTGTAAGCCTCAAGCAATCTTGTCGGTTCTGTGACAGCCTGAAAATGAAGAAAAATTATCTCGATGACAGATGCCTGGATGTCAACCACAAGTTATGTCCAAGAATAAACTACTTACGGAATGCAGACAGTTAGGATAATCATAGCTCAATAACCGTGTCGCGTCCATCTTCAAACCAGGAATGTGAGCAGACTAATCGCAGATGTCAACAAGAGGATGTCTGACGTCCGTGTCACCAATCGTTATAAAATGGACGGGGGTATCTACACCAATCTGCACAGAGTAGTCCCTTTGTTAAGGCGTTTAATTCTCAGCCAACGCATACATTGCTCGAACCATATTTAAGTGTTACATACGCATTGCTGACGCAAGCTTTCACTATCTCAAGAGACTGACCAAATATGTGATCTTATACTGCGTAAAACCAAAGTTTATTCGAGCCACTTTTGAAAATACGGTAGACTGCCTACCTAGGTATCCGACATCACTTACAAGATAATGTGACTTCCCAGCTGTCAGGTATGAGCGGCAGTCGATAACTAGCGAGTCGGTAGTGACCAAGCCCAGCACGGGGTGACCAACTAGTTTTGGCACCAACTGACGTCTGCGAGCACGACACCTTACCCTGGTAAGAGGTTAAATAGGCACTTCCAGTGTATACACTATAACAACATATACAATACTCAGTTATCAGCTTACGGTCTACCATCGTCACTAGCTGCTCCATATCATGACATCGCTGCGAGGGACTAACACCATGTATGGGTAGGAGGACGAATTTGAAGCCAACCGTGGAGGTAATGTAAGATCGAATAATGGCACTCATTCAGAGGATTAACGTCTATCGGTAGCCATACCATATTTCGCAAAGTCACTTAGAATCTTCAACTAGTTACGACTGTTACATTGAATACAACCAAGAATTCTGTTGTCTGACTTCCGTTGAAGTAAAAGTTCGTAATTGTAGTATGTCACTATCGCGTGCAATCAAACTGCAGCGATAGCTAAGCAGTACACGAGACTGGACGTAAAGTTTACCGAAGTACGGGTTTGGTGTTCCACTTCTGAGATGATCTGCTACGAAAGTTGTTCTATCTTTTAGAACTTCCTCAATCATGATGATCATTCGGATTGAGAAAGTGGTACAAGATCTTAAAAATGTATCACAAATAATCAGATTAATCACTAGTCTACGAATCCTAGGTCTCGAGAGCAGAGAATTAAGACTATCAGATCCGTATTTTCTTTTTGTTGAACGGGATATATAAAGAACTTGCATGTGTTTGTATTAACCAGTAAATTTCTATGAGTTAATTTCCTAGTACTGAAGACAACGTTATTCTAATAGAACCATTGGAAATGTGCCTGACTTTGGGGGAATATGTGGCAAAACAGCTACTTAGGTAAACCTCAAACGCATTTAGTAGATAAACGTGTTGAGCTCAATTTTTATAGCACATTTTCGGAATTAGCTACTCTGGGAATACGTGGAATGTCAACCAAGCACTATATGGGCCTCTTTCCAGATTCGTCAAATTGATTTACCAAATTGTAAACTATACATCGTAGTAAAGGTGATGTGCAGCAATCCTCATAGCTTAGTTCCGATATTCGACTGTCATTTAAGTCAGAGGAAGAATACGATCCTGAATATTGTTACTTTCTATATAAATTAGAGATGTTAGTAATTATCGTCCAGTATTTATGACAGATCGGTGTTGTTAGCGCTTATCAGTTGAAATGAATTATCCTACCATTTAGGTCAACACTAAAGAAAATCGGTCAGTAGTTCTGACTGAATTGTTAATAGACTGTTTGTAAAGAAAAAAGGTTGATATTAGTTAAATCCTCTTTTAAGCACATATTTGTTAATGAAACCCCCCGAGAGCAAAGCTTCGCATAAAACAAATAATCTGACACTTCATAAAAATGACGTAAGGCAAAACTAAGTGTAATGCTTGTTAATTAAAATTGGAAAAGAATGAATACCCGAAAATAGGAATACAGTTTGCTTAAATATACAGTGAAAATGAAATGAAATCGGAATAGTTTTTCACGTAATAAGTTCTCGAAGTTTATGTACGAAGTGAAACCCAGAGAAACCACTCGTCATGGACGGGATGAATCCAGCCATATTCGGTGGCGATTGTGAACACTGGGTGGGATTAAAAGCTGAAAAAAAGTTTTAGCGAGCTAAATTGATAATCAAGTTTGCATAAACTGGTGGAAAATTACCATATTAAATTTTTATAAATACCTGACAGACAAAACACCCTTATAAAGGAATGAAAACCAGCCAGATGCATTGAACAAAATGTTTCCGTTACATGTCACAGAATATAATGAGCTATAATTCACTAGTCTTAAGAAATACTTCATTTGATCACTATTTAACACTTTATCCAATCAAGGTTTGGAAATTAGATAACGATAAACTTCATGTACATCAGTGGATGTGAAGCATAATTTTTCTCTTTCTACACTGTCAAAAACAAATTGTTGCATGAAAGGTCAGTCCGTACTACCACATATGCTGTCGTGATTTTAAAGTACCGAAATTTAGGCATGAAAAAATGGTTTCGAAAACTTGGGATGGGTGGGGAAATGTAGTGACTTTAGTGTGAAACACATTACGGTAACTTCAGCATGTTTACCGTACACTATTTGCAGTTGCTAGTGTTCAGTTGTAATTTTCAGGTGGTCAATTTGCAGTGGAACAGAACTACACATTGTTTTCTAGTATTTACTCACCTATCGTGACTTTTACAACGGGAATTTTAAGCTTAGTGAGGCATTATGAATAAAGAACAGAACTTAGTGATCGCGAATACTAAATACAGAAAGACGTACCTTATGGTTAACAGAATCGTTACGTTTTTCCATTTTAGTTTACATACACGTTTAAGTATTCGTTTCCAGTTATATGTTTTGCCGCTGTTCCAATAAAAGTCTGGGTTTCCAAACCTAAGATCTATTGGCGAAAAGTTGTTACTGGTCGACAAAACCACGGGTTTTTCCCCTTGAAGGCCTCATGGCTCGCTTTTCTGTCTTTACATTAGAAATATATACTTTCATGAATGGTATCTTCAGTGCTCTTCCTTTTTATCACCACTTATACCGTTACGACAGCTAGTATTTTGAGTTTTGACAATTTTATCTATGTTAATGGGGTGTTGGAACTTGAACCGATGTACACATGTACCAGAATCTACTTTGCAGTTGACAGACTCGTTTTTATGTATTACTAAATGAGACTGCCGCGTATACTAATCCAAAAATCCAAGAAAACTGACGAGTAGTCTTGGTAATCCCAAACAAAGATACTCAAAGAATGTAGTTTATAATATATGACAACCCCTGACCCTGTAACTTAAAATGCTGGAATAAACTGAGGAAGTAACGTGTCATCTACAATCCCTTATGAACATACTGGACAAATATGAACAGGGAACTAGTTGTACATCTGTCAAATTTCCTTGATTTTTTCGTATATGGCACTGCAAAGCTTGTAGCGAGTAACACTTGCCGGTGACATTTAGCCAGACTAGTGAACTAACTATTGTGCACATATTACAAACACAAGATTGAAAAACGAATTCGAATGAGTATACGGTTGCAATCACAATCGAAACAATTTATAGAATGACATAAGTGGAATAGATAATCCACGATCGATTTAAATGACAGCTTACAAAGCTTTTATTCCATACACGTCTAACGGCTAGCAACGTTTAGTGTAAAATGACATGCAGTATACACTTGACCACGTTTACGTCCAAATATCGTAAGTTACAATTAAAGGCAAATCATATTCACACCTGCTAATAAAATTCCAAATCATCAAATTACTGTTTATTAGTCCGGGTATTTTAATACATGCATCAATAATACTAACGAACACGAATATTCCAGATGAACCATTTTGGATTGTCATTTTATGTAAGCCATATTAGTGCACAAATCACACCGGACATACCTATTTCACGAAACACTTCGACTGAGGTCATAATTTAGACTGAAAATAATTTAGTCTTCATCGACATAAATATTGGTACAAAAGGGATATCAAAAACATACGCGCCACACAAGTCACTTGATTTGTATGTGGGCTATGGTACTGCACGGGTGCCCAGACCGAAGCAAGTGGTTTTCATAGGGGGCCACACCCGGAGACTTCAACCTGGTGATCTAATCAACAAGGCGGTGAGGCAACTTCAGGAGACAGTCACAGGGTAGGTGATGACTAATAATTGGTTCATACGCCATTTGTTCCCACAGGACACAGGAGCCTATGTGCACGACCTGTTCAGAATCAGGGATTCCCAACTACCCTAGGTGGATCCTCCATATCAACCAACCCGGTTAACGCGCCGGGCATTCACGTTTCGACCTCTCGATTTCGTAGACAGTACCCCCATTCGAGGTACTGGTTGTTTATTTCAGTCGATTTGAAAGTGGTATTAGCTCTCACTAATAAATGCCACCAATATACGTTTCATTAGTTATTTCCCTTAGTGTACATTGCACAAAATTAGGATATGATTATCAGGTGGTTTGTCTGTCTTAAGAAAGAGTCATTGCAAATGTGGCCGGTTATTAACCATAGTTACGGTGAGTAAACATGCACTATCATGTCTAGTGCGAACACATGAATCCAATAAGTGGAAACCATAGTAACTAATTATTTTATGAAGGATGTTTATGTGAAAACCTATTTAGAAGACGGAGACTATAATTTATGGACGAACCGACAAGGTATATTATAACATCTCGAATTTTGACGCGGAATTCACTCAATAATCTAGCTAAATGGTGTTTTGGCATTTTAGCTTATGTCAGTTCGCCATGAAAACCCTAATTTAATTTATAACCTTAACCAAAAACTGCAAATCATAATTCTAATTCCCCACACTGGTTTATAAACCCTCGTTTGGTCCTAGTTATTAGGTAGACACCCAAGTTGTGCTTAAAGGCCGTCCATCTTGGAATGCGCTCAAATTATAGCTAAATTCTAGTGCTAATGCAGCAATATGAAAGTAACCCAGAATGTTTACCTCACCGGTAGTGAGCCGAACTAGGTTAAGGGATTGTGAATTATGCTACTAATCCTAACGAGCAAGTTTTGAGGCCATTTTGCCCGCAAGCAGTAGTGAACGTAGATGGATATATATTTAAGGGCTGAGATCATATCTAAAAACTGGACGTTCAACTCAAAAGCATTGATACTAATGATGTAAAGTACGACAATTCCTTCAAAGTTTAGTCAAGTCATCAGCCTTATCTACCTCGGTGTGACTTTTAAGAATGGTCGTGGATAAGTTTAAAATGAACGATTAAGAAATACCGAACTGTTAACATATGACTAGTGACTGTTGTTTATACTTAACATTTAATTGTGAACCGCTGGATATTACTAGAGGATTTGTCAACAATACACAGTACGTTACAGTAGACTAATGAACAGGGAGGGACGAATATACCTTATGATTAATCCCGTGTAGTACTTCTGAGGACATCTCAAAAAAGTTTTGACAACAGCCTACAAATCTTAGTCAGACATATTACTTGCGGAGTCCAGGAGCAGAATATTAACTGTTACTGTCAAACCACGTCAGCCACAGCTTTGAAGTCACTGTTTCTATTGTATGGTGTGTAAAATGATTGTTTACAAGAGCTTCAGTTATAGCATCGTATTCGCAGGAGATTAAAATGGCCCCTAGGTATGGAATTACTCTATGTACAGTTTAGAACCCATTCGATATCGAGACTACATCGTTTAGTTGACTGACTGCCATACGAAATAAGCTGAACTAATTCCCGGAAACGACTGAGTGTTATTTCACAAAACCGCATTCGGAAGTTCGAAGTGTTTTCAACATATAAATATGCCGCTTACCCGATTCATTATTTCCTTAATCAAAGCCACAACGACAAGCTGACCTATGGAACACTGAGACGGGAATGATCAGAACGAAACTATTTGTCGACGTCAGAAACGTTGACTTAAACAAGCAAACGTAGCAGTTTGTTCAATAAACAATATCCTGAAAGCATCATACAACAAACTAATCAGTTTTCGAAGAATTAAGTTTCAATATCTTGAAATGTCCTCAACTTTTTGACCACACTTTGCACTTTTTAACAATCGCTTACCTTTACTTACCTAAGCCATCGATTATTTGATCATATTTCTTCACGAACTGTTGGCTTAAAAGAGATATAGAAAGTCATAGATGCATAGCTGATAATAAACGATAAAACTGAACCAGCATTTATTCCTGTATACGCATGTATTATCTCAACTCGTGGAGGACGCTTCATGGATGCATATGTTATCGGTATTCTTTTACTGAGATCTGAAAACAGTATAGTGATTTTTATCGAAAAACCACTACAGGTAGAAGAGAGTCTCCTTGAGAAATGCTGAGATTGCATATGAGTATTCGATATTTTGTGGTAAGTTACGACAGAAACTTCAGGGGTCACGATGTTAGCCTGAGTGTAAAACATCTTTGTTTAGATAATCTGGGTTATTTAGTTACATTTAAATTATCAATCGATCTGAGTGAGACCACATTTGAAAACCTGGAAATGCTGAATGGCCGATTCATGTTAGCGTAAAAGTTTTCAATAACGCTCATCCATGGTCCTACACGCAGGGCTTGAACCTAAGATATTCGGTCTCGTGCACGAACGCTTAACCTATAGATAACTGAGTCAGTGTTCGACGGTGTTATAATCTATCTTCGCTGAGTCCACGGCATTACTCGATCACCATTCATTGTCCTCAGTCAGTCTTTTAACAGCCAACCCTTGACCTCGAAACTAGTTTCATTGCATTACGACTAGATCACCAAGTTTCCTTTTCAACATACTTCCGAGATTTCCCATCTCAGTCAATCCATCAGTAAACAAAACTGAAAGAAAATGCTGCTATTTTCGGCAGATAAAACTGTAACAATGAATAAATAACCATTTCGTAAGCTACAAGATGTGGTGAACAGTAGATGCAACTCCCTAGTGCTTTTAAACGTTTTGATGACAAGCCACAGTTTATTAAATGCCAGAAAACCCTTGCGATAAACGAAAACGAGGGAGATTCTGGATTTTGTTTGGACACGATATTTTACGGTGCAATGAATAAACCAATTGTGCTGAAAAATTCGACACATACTATAAAATTGCACAAGAAATCATCATGTTCCAGTGAATAATGATATAGTCTTCTGGTATTGGAGTTGAACATAACGAGCTATGAGAGGATGAGAGGAAACACTTGAGGTATAAAAGCATTTATGAGAATGATTATATGCATTTCACAGGAATCCCTGTCTGGTACTCTTGACCGAAACCACCTATTCAATACACAAGAGTAGCAGTAGTTACTACATTAAATAACGTCTTGTGAAGTCATGGTGGCCAGTGAATACGAACTACCATGTTCACATCTCAAGATAGCAAGTTCGTTTAATCTAGTGGAATTACCAAAGAGCGTTCGCATTATTGGAATTACTACTTTTCTGTCACGTGAAGCTCTGCTAGCACCAAATACGTTCACTCCCCTTGGATAAAGAGACAAAGGAGAGATTTCAAGGTTTTGATTGTAAAGTTTACTACACTATACCAGTAGCAGTTGGAATGAAAGTTTCTTTCATTATTGTACACAACCACTTCACCCTTTCTGCTGAGAAAATGAGAAATGCAATGCAACAAATAATCGTAGCTTATGGCTATAATGTTGTCATTCTAAAAAAGGTTCTTCATATACTCTGAACTGCTTATCTTCGGTTACCATAACTTATTTCTGCCTTAAATTTTTTTGATTCTCCGTTTTGGCGACGCTGCTGGTGTCAAGCTCATTGCTTGATGTCCTTTCGAAACTCGATGCGGAGAAGACTGGAGGAAATATTTGATCGAATTAATCATCTGGTTATTTTTATGATAGTACTAAATACATGATGACCAACTTTGTTGGTTAGTTAGTTGCATTGTACCTGTTGTGGGAGTGTATGACTTCATGTCAGATAAACGTATCTTGTTTAATTACATGCTTATTCTTGATTTGGCTTCTAGTAAATGCTGATTATATTGTCTTCCAGCACAATTGTGCATCCGTCTATTTCACCATATCCCACTAGTACCATAAAACGAGATTGACAAGATTAACAGTGTGTAAAGCAAAGTATTCTGGCAGAAATGGAAACGAGAAGGCCTCGGGACCTCAGACGTGGGTCTAAGAGAAAGAATGTAAGTACTCGTATGAAGGTATATTAGAGTTCAAAGTCTACAGGATGGTGAATGTTAACATAGTCAAAGAATTAAGACTAATGACTTGAGTTTGTTCTCACTGAATTTAAGTTTCCCGGAACCTATTCGCCCATGTTGACTAACACGTTTTTGTTGTCAAATTAACTAGTTCATATTTACATCCGGACGGGAAGAGCATTCCAATTGCAAAATGATAAATTGTTCGCCGTCAGTACATTGTCTGTATCTGGACCATGATGGTCGATTCTCAATCCTATCATTTCACGTTTCCAACTACTGATCGTAGTTGTTGCACAGGTTCTGATCAAGTAGCCTGAATTTATCATCATGACCTAGGTCAAGGTTCATTGGCTACATGGACCGACTCAGGGGCTTAAGAAAATACAAAACCATCCCCACGATCAGCTTGGTGATCTTGAAACAAAATTGGTAACAATGTCATATTAGCATGATGTCGATGGTGATGAAGTCTTGAGATATTACTTAATAAGCGAAATTGGAGACTCATAGTATATGAAGACGTCCAACGTTAAAACGTCAAAAAACACAATCCTTTCCTAAAGCTTACTTATGGAATTACTGGTGCTACTGTGTGACGAATGGTGCCAAATTTGTACTTGGTGAAGTGCATCTCACCCTATGAGTGATTACATTCCAGGTGATACCAATATAATTATACCTGGAGTCTGATTACTAGGGACCAGATCACTCAGCCCATAAATCTCCAATCTCGGAGATATGACCCAACAGCTGAGTTGTCCGGCAAATAGCCATCTGTTTTTATGACGAACAGAGAAATACTCGATCACATAGGTAATGGCACATAACAAATAGCGGACAGACTACACAGAATAATTTTGAAAATGTTCATATAAAAGTGTGCTCGGGTGAAAGTGACCACAGTGTTAGGGATTTCGAGGTGAAGACGATTGAAAATTATCGTGAGATAGCAACCGATCTTGTCTATGATATAGCTGGTCAAACTAATCAGCACAGTGGCTCCAGAAATTGAAACAAATGACAGCTAATAAAAAGCGGGTAGTCATGAAGATTAGTTTCATAAGGCCATTTCCAATAGCGTTATAGTAGTTTTGATTCTAAACCACACGATACTTGAAGATGAGTGTGTAATTAATGGAGAAATTTACATTCAACCTACGGGGGTAATTGGTCAGTATGACATAGCTTAGTCTTGCAGGAGTGGTTACTCTGCTTAATTCATACCTTTTTATCACAAATATATTACTTTATCACTAAACGAAATATGTTCTTCAGAATTACTTAACATAATATTACTGCTTGTCACGGCAGGACAAGTACGTATAGACGGTGATGTAACTTCCACGTAAGACCATATAGATTAGGTATGGAACCAATTCTATTACAACAGTAACGAAGACAAATGTGTTAACGCCGAAATAAACCATAAATCTGGAAAATTTCGCATGTTTTCCACGGTTGCCAGATGTATGTTTTCCTGCCTCTTCAGCCATTGCCAAGTCATAAATAAAGAAATGTCTATCTTGTAAACATAATCAATGGATAAAATCGGCCTAGCTTGAAGAACTGTTTCACTGATTTTATAAAATAACTAGATTCGAGAAGAGAACATATGGCTGAATATGAATAAGGTTTATTTCCCTACAAATGTTTGGTCTCACAGAACGCACTGGTGTTGAAATACTAGACCTTACACACACAGTCTTTGGGCTGAACTTGTAATAACTGTAGACTCAAATCGGGCACTCAACCACCTAACGAGAATCAGAAACGGTGTGCGCGGGAGACTCATTTTGTGTCTCATGGCTCGGTCATGCAGGTATGGTCACACTATGTAACCAAACATACTATTCTCTTACCGGTTCAAATGTATCTATTGAAACACCAACATAATCGCACTTGATGGAAAAACTGTGGAAGAGGTGAGAAAGTTTCACGTACCTACATAGCATCACCGATGAACGTAAAGGATCTAATGCAAGCGAAACAGTGAGGATTGACAAAGGGCAGCATTCCTACAGTTGAATAACATATGGAACTTAAAACAATTATCTGCAAGCAAACATCAAAGTCAGAATCTCCATTACGAACGTCAAGACAGTTTTACTGTCTGGAGCTGAATCTTGCAGAACTAATACAACCATCATCAAAAATTACAAGTATTTATAAACAATTGTCTACTCACGATATTCGATTTCCGCTGACCGGATGCCATTGGCAAGAGCCTACTGTGTGAAAGAACAAACCAGCTTCGAGCTGAAGAAAAAGTTAGGAAATGATACTGTCGGTGGATGAGAAATACATTAGGACAATCATCAAACTAAATCACGAGGCAAGCATTAAATTACAATCCTGAAAGGAAAGGGAGAAGAGGAAGATAAAAGAGCACATTAAGTTGGGAATCGGAAGCAGACATGAAAAGAATAAATAGTAACTGGAAATAACTGGAAATAGTTGTCTAGGGTAGAGTTGGGTGGAGAATGCTGGTGGACGTCCTATGCTCCTCTACGAGAGGCAAAGAGCATAGGTAAGAATTTGAATTCACCACACAACTCTTTTAAATATAAGACCTTGATCCTACGACGACCGCTCTTCACATCCTGGTTTTACGCGTGGATATAAATAGTGTCCGTTGACCAAAAATGAAAAGTGAGAATAATTCATCGAAATCATGGAATAAAATAAATTATCGTCGTACATCTCAGTCTATGCCAGAATAATTGTA